TCCATTAAGATTATTGAAACAAGGCACCACACAGAATCCCTTACACTCAACACTCCTTTCACAACACAAATAATTTTGGTACAAATGAAGACAACCAATCTCCATCCTACAATACCATATTCTTTACTGGCTCTTTAAAGTTTACAGAGAAAATAGGAGGCAGCAATGTCTGAATAAGTCTGCATTTGGAAAACGACATGTACACATGTACTAATGCAATATTTATTAAGCAAGTACTATGTGATCAAGAATATGTTACAGAGAACTGTGTTGGGAATAATATATTATGTGATTTAATCCTCATAACACCCCAGGGTTGGTACTAAGTGTCTAATAATTCTCATTATTAAGATAAAGGGCCCACCATTTTTATTTAATTTTCTGTTTCTCTGTCATTGGTTGTTAAAAATGTATAGAGTAAAAGCTAAATACAGACAGATGAGAGGGATACAGAAAGGAAGAGGTTAATGTAGTTCAGCGAAATTTTTATTGTGTTTATATTTCTTGTGACGTGTGGAGCAACTACTGGATCTGAAGGAATAGAAAACAAGTTGCTAAATGGAATGTCTCTGCAAGCACTGATTTTAATAGAAACTTCAAAAATTAAGACCTTAAAATACATACTTGATTTTTTTCTATTTATCTCCTTCTGGATTTCAGGAAATTGTGCGTAACAGCTCTAGAAAGGTAGCAGAATTCACCACCCAAAAATGATTTTTCCTGATGAGTTCTGTGAGGCAAGACTCCATGGTCGGGCCAGACCTAAATGAAGCCCCCAAACAAGGTGAATCTGAACAGAACTGGGTCAGGGAGATGACACTATGTAGAATTCTACTCTCCATGCCTCCAAGGGTATTTCCAGTTCTGTTTTTCCTATGTTTACCTAAGAGAAACTTCAATGCCAGAGTTTGTGTAATTTTAATCGTTTTTGGCCAGTGCTCTGTCAATTTTAAAACATAAACTAATAAGCAATTTAAATCTCTTATAGTTTTCTAGGTAATTTTATTAGAAGATAAATATGTATTCTTAGCAAGGTAATAGAAATACAAATAGTAATAACAACTCTTTTGTCCCTAAATATCTCCTAAGATGATGATATCAGAAGTCACAAAAATATACAGTGGCCCAAGTAAAGCCTAAGGCTTTTTGCACGTATCTATTCATTGCACCAACCATAGGATGCTTAATTCAACAATGCATCTAGTTGCTAGTCTAAACTAAAAGTTCCTGGATGGTAAGAACCATGACTGCCTCAACTAGTTTTTGAATGGCCACAAAAAATTTTTTAAAAATTACTTTATCTGTTTGAGTCTCCAGACCTCGTTTTTCATCCAAGTGCCAGGAAACTGGAGAAAATCTCATCTGGCTGCCAACCAAAGACATCTTTTGTATGAGGGGAGGAGCAAACACAGGCTGACTCATTTCTCTTACACTGAGACTTAGCAGAATTAACCGCTCTTGTCTGACTGACACAGTTCTGCTCTGGACATCCTCAAATTTCTCAGCAACACCCAGCTGATTGTGAGAAGGTTTCCAGTGAGCCTGGGCTGATGGCCCAATGGTAAGCCAGGCAGGAGAAACTCAGGCTGATTCTAAATAGAAAATGGAACTGCCCTGGTGGAGCTCCAGAACCCGGATCACCTGTCCTGACTAGCTAGCTCTTGGATAAGGAAAAGGAGAATACTGTACTCCAGAATCACATTTTACAGGTAGGTGTAGTTGTGATCATGCTCTGGATACTTTGTGGTCTTGATCTCTCACTCCTAAGATGCTTGTTTACACTTGCAGATTTTGCCTTCAGATTGTTTACACCTGGAACCTCTCACATAACTATAGCAGGTCACTGGATAAGATTGGAAAAGCTCAAAGAGCCCCACTCTCAAAAAGAAACTTCAAGATGTCAATGTTGACATCTCACAATGCAGAAAATGCCTCTTGTTGGTTTTCTGTACATTTTTAATCCAGAATCTAACTCTGTCTTGTAATCCCAGGCAGAGGCCAGAACTCAGGTGCAGATTCTAGGTGGGATCAACCTGGCTCTACATTTTTGGGTGTTACAGCAAGTGGAGTACAATGCAAGGATAAAGCCCCTCCTACAGGCTGCTCTAGCATTCTAAGTGATATGTCTACCTAAAAGGAAAAAGCTGAGGAAACATGAATATGAGTAGACAAGTTTATTTGGGCCAAACATGAGGACTGTAACGTGACAGCAAAGACTCAAGTTGCCTGGTATCTACACTTTAATTAGCAGTAGTTACTAGTGGATTTGTAAAGGTAAAAAAAAAGGACACAGAGTGGGCTGATACAAAAATTCTTATTTATTTACAGAAATAACATTAATTATTGGTGGGATATACACTGTGAAGGTTTAGGGTATGGGTTATACTGTCCAGTATGACATCAATAGTCTAATTTATAGATACTAATGGCAACATCAACAGTTTTAAGAGATGAATATAGTTTAAAGGTGGGAAAAGACATAATTGTGCTCTAATTTTAATTTTTGACAATTGAAAGAATTTGTATTCCTCAAATAAAAGGTTTTTCCCCCCAGATCTCAAGACCTAGAGTCAGAATATGGAGCTGCAGGTTTAGGTCCTGGATTATTGGAACAGCAACAGATGTTACCTGCACCTTTGTGGGAATAAAGAGGAAATTTGTGGGCGTTTTAGCAAGAGGAGGAAGGGGAAAGTGGAGAATCTCATGTCTACATGTCATTACTTTGATTGGGTTTTTGGGCCCCATGGTCTGTGAATTAGTTTCAGGTCTGAAAATACAAAAGTCACTGAAAGAGAGAAAATGATTGATTGCTGCCCTGTGAAGTTTGTAAAAATCTGATCTAGCCTCTCTAGAAGTGACAGTACAAGACTATGAATAGCAAATAGGCAGAGACACAATTCTGCCTGCATATTTAGGGGACAGCATGCACTTTGCAGCACGATTATGAGTTTACTGGAAGCCTGAGGGGAAAGTCCTTGCTAGAGTAAAGCTTAATTGGCACCTTATATATTTATATTATGTCTAGTAATTCTAGACAGTGTTTGGAAACTATGATTAAGGGGAAAATTCCCTCCCACCCCAGAGAAACTCCAAATAACAGAAAAGAGAAAAAACTGTTTTATTACACAATTAAATTAGAACGTGACATATATAAAAGTTAATCTGCTTAAGAGATTGCAAAGACAGGAAAGCAGTCACCATAATTAGTCTACAAGTAGAAGAATGTATAGCACCATGTCACACATAGTTCATTCTAAATTCACCTGGTAATTAAGGTGGCCATCCATGTATGCTAATTGGTTATATTCAATGACAAAATAAACTTTTCATATCTTCATGACAGAAGGCAATTTTGCAACTTGAAGCCAGGTACCTGCTGAAGGTAGGCTGTCTTTCTCTGACATAAGTGGTTGAACAGGGTGCTACCTTTTTGGCTATGTACATTTTAAAGCAATGGCTCTCTACTCCCTGAGCACTAGGCTATAGCACCCCTGCTTGCCCACTCCTGGTGGTTAGTGTCCTCTCTTGACTCCTACCATCCAACACACAGGCATGACTCACAGCACAGAGCTTACAGCTGGCAGCTCACATCTTACGTGAACCTCAATTGCCAAAGCAGCACTCCAGTGCCACATTAGAGAGTGAAGCCTGAGCTGCAGGAGGAGAGCCTGCAGGCCTTCCAGGTAGAACTGTAGCTTTAAAATAATGGGAATAGCAACAGTGTTTCAGCCTCAGTTTCTATTTATAATAGTGTCATAGAAAAAATACTGCTAGATTTCTAGCATAAGTCCAGATACAGACAGACCCAAGAGCTCTCCCTGTGACCACCCACCTCATTCACAAACGCCACTAATACTAATAGAGCTTCTA